GCAAAATATTTATGCGACCGATGCGAGGCACAGCCGTCCGTCACCCCGTCCGGAATTGGATCCATACCGGGGTGGCAACGGGGCGGATGAGTGAGAGCGAGATGTCCGCAGTAGCGATCGGTTTTCTGCTACCCCTTTTTTCACGCCTCCGAGCAATTACTTAGAGTCAAATACCCTGCAAGTGCTACTGAAATATGTGGAGTGTATGCCTCAAAAGATCTTAATTAAATAAATAATATTAAATATTTTAAACAATAAAAGAGTGGCTATCTTAAATAAAAATTATTATTAGTTTAATTGTTTTAAAAATTAATTAGTTTAGTTAGTTTAATTGTTTTAAAAAATATTATTTTTATATTATTTAATAGCGTCTGATGAATACGCTTCTTTTAACCAAAATAAAACATTTTAACAAAAAAATATTATTTTCTATAAATTAAAGGCATTGTAAAATATATTTAATGAAGGAAATTTTTTAGGTATTCTATGAAGGTATTGTATAAAGACATTATTATTTTTCATTATTTGAAAATTTAAATGTTAGTAATATGATTTCTAAGTACTTTGAATAAAATAGAATTAAAGAGCATCCGGCAGTCTAATAACTTAAACTAAAAATTTTATTCACTTGTCTTTTTATGAACTTCCACACACACACACAGCTAGGCCATAAACAAACATTTACGTACACATTAATATGTATCTTGTAGATGCACATCCAGTACATTAGCTGGGCTTTTTGTTATTGTTGCTGATGGACAGATCGGCCGACTTCATCATCGGTGGCCATTAGTCAGCGCTGGCCTCCTCGCCCCTTTCTCATCCAATCCTCCTCCCGAGCATCTATGAACTTTGATCGCTGATTGATTGGCCAAATGCACTCGAAAATGCAGGCAGCACCTCCGCGCATATTGATGATTTTAATTACTTGAGCAGTTTGCATATTTGGTTGTCGGTGCAATCGTTGCGTGAACCAGATGTTTTCCCCAGGAATAGGGGTGCCCGAGATGGGTCAGGGGAAATTCAGGGCATGGGCGTAGCAAAGGGGCTAAGAAATCAGACAACGGGTCCATTGGAAAGTTAAAAATATAACAAGGATCAATGGAAATTAAGATAAGACTACTTTGCCCTGTCATCAATGCATTTTTATACCCTTGTAGAGGGTAATATAATTTCAGTCAGATGTTTGCAACGCAGTGAAGGAGACGTTTCCGACCACATAAAGTATATATATTCTTGATCAGCACCAATAGCCGAGTCTATCTAGCCATGTCCGTCTGTCCGTTTCTATGCGAACTAGTCTCTCAGTTTTAAAGCTATCGCGATGAAACTTTCCCGAAAGTTTTCTTTCTATTGCAGGTAGTACATATGTCGGAGCCAGCCGGATCGGACCACTATATCTTAAGGCTCCCATAGGAATATTCAAACATATATAAGAAAATTCATTGTTACTTTGTAGGAAGTAGGCGTTTTCATTCTTGACTACTTAAAAACAAAATTCAAAAATAGAAACGCTGAATCTGGAATCCCTGGAACTGCACCGAGTGAGTATTACTTTATCTGCAAGGGTATATAAGCTTCGGCTGGCCGAAGGTAGCTTCCTTTCTTGTTTTTATTATGTTATTAAGATGTGTTTATTAAATATCTTTAAAAAGTTAACTGTAAATAGAAATACAAGCATTTACGAATTTTTATTTAAACATAATTTATTAATAGTTACAATTTAACTAAAATTTCCTTTAAAATTGTATAGGAACCATTTTGTTCCCCCACTAAACAATTATATCTACGCCCATGGATTCAGGACAGCCAGCTTCTCGCTGGCAATCAATCAGCGGGGCGCAAATGAGTCTGCGAATGGGTCACAACAATGCATTGCGATCTCCAAGTGGCCAGCGAAAACGCTTCCGTTTCGTTTTCCTCTCGTCTGACTGTCTGGTTTTACTTTGAAATCGGAAACGCTTCGTATAATTTTTGGACACACCGTTTTGACTTTAACATGGACACGGACACGGTCATCTGCCTGTCTGGGAATGGCTAAGGGATCTCGAATGGGAATGAGAATTCACGGCTATAAGCGGGTTGTTCACATCTCTGAACTTTGCAAGGAATTCATTGGAATAATAAAAGAAGCTTGTGCTGAGTTTTGATGAAATTTATTTATTCGCCTTTTGATTAATAGTTAAAAGTGAATTTTCAAAGAAAGACATTATAAACATTTAAGGTTAAAGGCACAAAACAGGAAAATATAAATATTCTTGCCTAATAATTATTTATTTTTATCAATAACTTTTTGAGTCATTGAACCAAATCTTCGACATTATTTTTACTCATAATGCACTTGCACAACCTCATCACAAATATTTTCCCCTATCACATAGGATGCCTAACTCAGTACTCAAAAAATCCAATGAAATCTAAAGGAAAAAAGTCGGATTTTTCCACCATATTAGTTTCAGTTACTGCAATTACCGCGTAGAATTTCCACTGAACATTGTTTTAGTTCAGCCCCCCTATAAGAAAAAAAGGAATATACATGTTGGGGGAACCACCTTGAGGATCCGAAGAGGGAATTCATTGCTACCTAAAAATGGGAGACACAAAACTGTCAACGCCCCCTCTCCCCCTTCTTTAAGTCATGCACTATCTTCCTTTTTCAAATACATGTAAGCAGTTCCAGGGGTTTCTTAAAAAGTACTGGAAGAGCGGCTCAAATGACAGGGGATCATAAATCCCGTAGCTAAATTTAGAACGTGCGGAGGGTGGATGGGATCTCCGCAGGACGAGTGAGATCCCTGCGAGGACAAGGGCCATTGGCATTGCCTCTTTATGTGTGATTTTAACTAAGTTATTTTTCTGTTCTTTTTTCGCAAGGTTAATTCCCACACATGGTAATCAATGGCATGTGCTATGCGCCTAAGGACTGCAAATCTCGCTGCGCAGCGAAAAGGACCTCATGCCAGGGGACAAACCGTTTTCCAATTATTTTCCCAACATATGTGTGGGCGAGCGACTCGAGTCGACTCGTAAATGAAATGAAAACAATGCCAGGATTTTTCCGGGGTCCGGATCCTTTGCCACGATTTTCCCTGCCCTCCGACCGACTCTCCGAGGGAATAGGCGCCGGCAGTCCAAAAGATTTGGGATCTACCATTTATTTTGGCCTCCGCTATTCGGATTCATTCATCAGGCATCTGAAAATGGGCGTTCTGGCAACCAATACTCGTATAAATCAATTGTTCTTGAACTCCGTCCCTCTCTGTTTCTCTTGATTTCTCTTTCATTTGTGTATAGTTTTCCGCCTTAATTAGATGCGGAAATTCTTTGGAAATTCTGTGTTCGTTATACGACTATTGCCAGAAATATAAAATGGTGATTCGGGTTTATTGATCTATTTGGCCAGCCAGCAATTCTCTTGATTAATGGAATATTTGGACAAACATGAAAAAGAAAAACAAGCTGATCTCAAATGCATGTATTTGGATTCTGTATTCTCAAACAATTGTGAATTTAAAATCTTAAGCTTCATTGATTTTCTATTCTAACAATAAAACAAGTACTTTACATTTTGGTTTTAATATTATCATCCAAGAATTGCCAAATGGGTCTTCCTGAATTTTAGTCAATATTACTTTGAAATACACAAACTTTTTAAGATTAGCAAAAAGACAAAATCAAATTAAAAGAAAATAAAAAATTTTAAGGCAGAAAGTCCTATAAAAAAATTAAACTAAATAGTACGAATACCTTAAAAGTATTAGACTTCAATAATTTATTAAACATTTGTATACTAAAATAAACATAAAGTCTTATTTTTAATTTAAATCATATTTTATATTAAAAAAGAAGCAAAAATCGCACCTATTGATAAAAACAAACCTATTTTAAAGCGATAATATATTTTAGATATATTTGCAATTCATTTGAATCCAACAAATTTCTATAAAAAATAATTTTCGTTTTTTGCTGCTTTTTAATTTTTTTTGCGTTGCAAAGTAAATCAATTGGCAATGAAATAAATCATTCGAAAACATTTTCCATATTTTTGTCGATGTGTGAGTTGATCAAAATGAAACAAAGACTTACGCTAAGTGGATCAAATCCCCACACACTCCCCTTATCTTTTTCTCAAGCATGATGTCTCATTATCGAGAATAATCTTTCTAATACTTGTCGTTAATAAGTTCCAACACTTTGAAAATGAGTACTCCCCAGCTCCAAGAACGACAACCTGTCAACATGCATGCGATATGCCAATTTAAACCGATCCAAATACAAATCTAAATTTGTATTTACACAAGATGTGTGTGCAGATCTTTAAGAAGATCCAAAATAAGCTGCGCACAATGTATATAGAGCGGAGAGCACTAGCTAGCTGTCATTTAAAAAGCAATTAAGTCAACAACTATGAACGAGAGCGATCGCAGCGATCACATATGCCTTTGATGAGGAGGAGTCCAGTTCGGTTCCAGTTTCCCCAAAGACGGCGACTAAATTATCTGACTGAGCTAATTATGAGCATTTTAAGCACGCATTTTGGCGACATAAATACTTTGCTCAGTTTATATATTCGGTGGCTGGTATACTTTGTAAACAGTTTTTATGTTTTTGAACATAAATCAACCGGATGTGGATGTGTTGCTCCATCTCGCGGGCCCCGTCTGTCCGACTGTCTGTCTGTCTTCCCATGAACACCGAGCATCCATAGGATGCAATGTGTATATATCTCGCAAATATTATACATACAGTCCATCTGTCGGCGGAATGACGTTACGCTCTAAGTATGTCGACGTCGCTTCGATTGTCTTCGCTTTATAAGATACTTATAAGACAAAAAGTCCAGAAGACCGGGGATCGACCCCCCAGCGAAGACATTTTCGCGCCCAATTTAGTGGAGGGGACGAATCCAAAACCACATCGAAACGAAATGAAGACGAAGATATTGTGGGGGAAATACAAATGAATGAAATGCAAAATGGCGTCTGGTTTTGTTCATGGCTTTTCTTTCTTTGTTTCTTGGCTTGTTTCGTTTTTACAATTAATTTAGTTTAGACTATAAAATTAAATAGGTTTTAATCGTAGGTTTTAGACTTAGACATCTAATCGACACACGTATATATGGAAAGAGTGACAGAGAATTGAAGAGTGAGAGCGGCCAGGGCTCTGGAATTCACACGATAGTTGCTGCTGGAAGCCCCTTCTGGATCCTGGACAGGCGTATATGCATCTATTAGGCATATATATTCCCTATCAGGAGCTATGCCTTCTGGTGCTGGGCATCGCCCTCCATGCGCCAGACGCCAAAAAGATAGCTCAGCTTCTCGGGCGGGATGATGGGTGCTCCGTTGGCCTTTCGGAGGCATTTGAGATCGGCCTCGGCTCCATTTGCGGCGGCACTCAGTAGCGAACTGGCCGATGCGTAGCCCGTGGGCGATCCCTGGGCCTCCAAGGCCTTCAGCAGGGATATATCACTCGAGCTGAGCATGCGGCACAGGAAGTCGATGTATCTGTAAGTTGAAGAAAAGTCCTTGATTAGTTTTAGGTTTTGATTAAATGAGATATGCTATTATAGTCTGAAGAACCGAATACTTTTCGAATTGGTTCTATAACAGGATATTAGAATCCTATCGTTAAAAAATAGTTACTATAAGAAATAATTTTTTTCTTTTGACATAACTGTGATTATGTGCAAAATAAATTATGAACTCAGAATAGATCTTATTTAAATGTAATAGAAATTAAATCAACATTTTCCAATTTTCATTTTAAAACTGTAATCAATTATTGCAAATTTATGATGAAAATGAAAACTATCTAAAAACAAGAATATTGTTAGCTATAAAAATTTGGAAGAGTCTTTTTATATACGATTTTTTTACCAAGTGAGCTTTTTGGTGTCAAAAAAATAAGTGTTTTTTACAGAATCGGAGGAGATTTTTGGAAATGTAATATGGAAAAAAACCCAAAAGTGTTTGCAATATGATTTTTAAAAGACCAACTGAGCTGATAAAATTTTTATTAAATTCTTCTTCAAAATTGAAGGAGATTGGAAAAATTTTGAAAATACTGTTAGTAAGAGGCCCTATATTTTTTGGTAACTTCTTAGAAGGACATCTTACCTTGTGGCCAGTTTGAGGGTCTGGATCTTGCTGAGCTTGTCGCTGGGCAGAGTTGGGATGATCTGCTGCAGGGACTTGAAGGCATCGTTGAGGCTCTGAGTGCGCTGGCGCTCCCTCACATTGGCCATGACCCTCTGGTTGCTGAACTCGTCAACCTCCTCCGTTTTGCTGGGCTTCCTTTTGAGACGCCTTCGCGGCTTCCGGAAGGCCTTTCCGCCGGCATCCGAACCGTCGAGCAGGCTGCCAGCACTGCCATCATCGGCCAAACAGGCGGGTGACATGACGCCCCCATTGAGATCGCTCACCGAACTCAAGGCGTTGTGGCGGGCGTACTCCATGTCATCCCGATCCGAACTGGAATAGGCGCTGCCGTTCAGCGAGTTGGCCGGTTCATAGCCCTCGAAGCTTTGTCTATAGGCATTTTGGAAGTGCATTTGGGCGTGAGTCTGCTGGTGTTGCTGCTGCTGCTGTTGCTGTTGCTGCTGGGACTGTTGCTGCTGGTTGCTGTAGAGGGGCAGGAAGACCTGAGCCTTGTGCTCGGGCAGCTCCTCGTCGGGGAACTCAAAGTGCGAGTGCGGGGAGGTGCAGGTGCTCTGGACGCCAGGACAGGATTGGGCCGAGGCCACCTCATCCACGGTGGTGGGTAGGTAATCCACATAGATATGTTGCTGTTGCTGCTGCTGCTGTTGTTGCTGGTGGATTAGCTTCTTGTGCTCGGGCTGCATGGCCAAGGATCCTCCGGTCTGGCAATCGTAGTCCCCACTGCTCCTGGCCCTCTTGCCATGCTCATTCCAGGCGGAGCCACTTCCTCCAGTCTGCGAATCGAAACCATTCGGCGTGTTGTTGCTGCTGGTATTGTTGTTGTTCAGCTCCAGGCTGGCACTCTGGGCACTCTGATTGCTGCTGGTGCTGAGGACCTCGTTGCTGGGTATATTATAGTCGGTATCCTCCAGCTCCGTGATGCCATAGGCCGCATATTCCGAGGGTAAGGGGGCGTACTGAGGTTGCTGCTGCTGCTGCTGTTGTTGCTGCTGCTGGTGGGAGTGGATATGTTGCTGGTGCTGATGTTGCTGCTGCTGCAGTTGCTGGTAGCCCGATTGCATGTAGGCCTGCTGCTCCACCTGGATCAGCTTGATCACATTGTGCTGCAGCTCCATGATATTGGGCAATGTGGGCTTGTAGCTAATGTCCAGCAGCACTTTGGGCGACACCGAGCGAGCGCTCATCATTTGGTGATCTTTTTTGGTATCTGGCTAAGGCACTTCTTGAATTGGAATTTATTTTAGATTTAACTATATATTATTTTGAAACTTTGTATAGTTGGCACGCCCGCGTATTTGGTGGATCGGTCTGCTCGCACGCACTCACGGAACGCAACTGACGCACGATCCTTCCGGCCATTGCTCAAATTGACATTTTGCGACTGCTCGACGGCCATTCGCTGCCGCCGCCCTAGCGTTGTCCCGCTCGCACGGAGGTATGGCCGTCTCGCTTACTCCCAATGGCGGAAGCTGCGGCGGCAGCAGCAGGTATGACGTCAGGCGGCGGCGGCCGGGGGATTTCGATTTTCTCGAGCGGCAACGGCGGCTGCAAAATACAAAAATAAAAGAAAATAACTAAGAGAGCCTTGACTCTGCGCTCTGGATTTTTCATCGCCCTCTCTTGGGTTATTCTTTGGGTTTTCTCTCCATTTGGGAAAATATCGGGGAATGGACGCTGGGAAACGGGGAATTGTCGGCAATTTTTGAAATATTTTTACTTGTTGATTCAAAGAGGGAATGATTTTTTTTGGATTATTGCTCTTATATTATTTTTTCTTAAAGAAGATTGAAGGGAACTTACAATTATGTTCGTTATATTCTTGTATTTTGAAAAAGTTACTAAATTAGAAAGAAATTATTCAAATCTATTTGAGATAATTTAGAAATAAACTTTATGACATAGCAACAACCACCGATTTTCATTTTTATTATAGAAATGGATGTAGTAATTAATTTTTTTTAATACAAAATTATTGAATTTTTTCCATGTTTGAGTTTAATAATAATATCATTTTTCTTTTTTGTTATTGATCAATTTTTGTTTAAGAACTATGTTATAAGATTTAAATTTTGGTTACCAATTTTAATTTTGAATTGTATATATTATATGCTTTTCCATTCCTTTGTTCTTTTAATGACACCATAAAAAGGTATTATTTTAGTTTTACTTTTATTTTAAAACAATCCTTTACATTGCTAGATCAAAAAGCATTTAAATTTACTTTATCTGATTGAAAAATTTCCACATCACCTTTTCTAGTTGGGGGATTTTAATTTGTATAGAAATCTCGTACATGCTGGAATTTCCCAGGAAACAAGCCAAAATGTTTAGACGCTAGCCCATCAAAATCATTCCGCTATTATATAATCATCAGTTGCCAACCATCGTAAAGCGTCTTAATCCTCAACCCTAGCCAAGGGGAACTCCACAAAAAGGTTTCATTATGCCTAATTAGTGAATTCCCACACACACGTACCAAGAAAATCGCAGCCGACCACTCGGATCTCCGAAAATCCAGAAAAATACGAGCGAAAAGTCAAATTTCCGGATATAATTATCTGCCTGCCTGCCGAGTCCACCAAAAATACCCGATTAATGCCGAGCGCGAACTTCCGCTGGAAAAAACCGCGATCGCCGATCGCCGGCTTAGGTAATAGTCAAAACCCCAGGACATGGAAATGTCCCCTCAGAAAAACCACCAACAGGGTTTTGCCCTCTCCTCTCAACCTACCTGGACCTTAGGATATCCCATAACATTTACTATTTAAAATAATTATTTTTTTATTAATAATATTTATCATAATAAATAATAATAAATAGCTTGTAAAATATTTTCTTAATCTTTTTGTTAATTAAATAATTACTACATTAACTAAATGATATCAATAAAATATAACACAGTATTTTAAAATTAAATTAAATTAAATTAAATTATATATATTGTTCTTATTGGATAAGGATTAAAATATAAAATTCCATACTTGATGATGGCAAAACATAAAAAATTATTCTTACGTGTTTCAATACAAATAACATTGCCCACTTTTTGGATGAATTCGTTTTTTTTTTTCAGCCCAAAAGCATCAATTTTTTTTAGTTTTGCGGCGAGTTTGCGGCAAAAAATAAGACATGGGCGAAGAGGTTTGAGGCTGCGCTAGACCCAATACTGAAGGATAATAATTTATTTATTGTATTTAAATTTAATTTAATTAAATTAAAAATAATATTAACATATAATTTAATTAAACACTTGTAGGGGCTTCTAAAAGTATACATTAAAAACACAGAAATATGATTGAGAACAAGTAAGGTGACGGCTTTAAAGACTAACCACAAGAAAATAAAATGCATGATAAATATAAGGGAAGTAAACATAAAATGTATTATTAAATGTAATACAAAATATTATAGAGATGCACATTCCGCAATATCCAGGTAGATGGCGCCACAGCGACTGTTACAAAGATGTCGATTCAAGCATTCAAAATGATCTTAATGTTCAAATTGGACACGCTGCAGTCACGTAGTTTATTGATTTCAATTCCGTTTACGAGCCCAAATCAAACGAAAAAAAAACGAAATGAGAGAGAAGCTGGAAAAGGTATTTTGCGTATTACTTTTTTTTTTGCTGGCGATGCTGCTTCTGTTTTTCATCTCTTGTCGTCTTTTTTTCTGGGTTTGCGTGGTGCGATTGCCAAACGATTTTCAAGCTGGCCAACTTTCCATTTTGACAATGCTCTAATCCTGCCATCGCAAAAACCATGTGTGTGGCAGTGTGCAGAGCGTGAGAAGAAACTTTTGGTGCACGTAAATCTCGCTCGACAATCAATTAAAATTAAAATATTTTTTGCCTGCCGAGAGCGCAAGCGTTGTCTACATATTCGAATTGACTTTTGATGATGTATCACGATTTATTGTTACCAAAAATGGTCGTCAAAGCGCGTGGAAAAGTGGATCAGGTAGTCTGGCGACGTCTAACGGTTCGGCTGGTGGGATAAAAGGGGGCGGTGAGCGGTCGGCAGGCAAACTCCCACAGCTTTTGCTATTACAGTGGTTATTCCTTAAATTGAATATTCCTAAATTGAACTGATTTTCGACATCAAAATAAGGTTTTTATAGGGAAACTTCAATAAAAAAGTGGTAATAAATATAAAAGTGTTTGATGTCTTTTTTTTATTACTTGGAGCTTAATTAGATACTTTATGATCGCACTTAGTATTAAATTTTAATACGTTTTTTTCAAACATTAAAATTATGAGATTTAATCTTTTTTCTATCAATTTTGCAGTTCGCTACTAACGAAACCTTATTTTCAATTAGGATGGATGTTTATGGAATTTCTTTAAGGACATCACAAATTTTTATCTGAAATAGATTTAGTACTGGTAAAGTTTAGATTATCATTTAAATTGTTACCATAATAATAATAACTAATCCTAAGACTTTAATACTTTATATGAACTGAAATGCAATGAAAATCGATTTATAATTTGAACTCAGCTCTTGTAGTTTACGGTATTTATGCAGTTTAATTTTAATTCACAATGATCTCAGGAACAGGTATGAGTTTATACAAAAGTACGAACCAAAAGGCCTTTTAATACTTAAGCAACAGAGTTAGCATTACGATTATTCCCGTAACTTTTGGCTATCCATGATTACCGAGTTACCGACTTATCTTAGCGAATTGCGACTGTGGTTGGCTGGGGGAAAATCGTGTGTGATGCAGCCTGTGAGATTAGGCACTAAGCCGCTTGATGGAAGCTGCGGCTGCTGTCAGCGAGTGCTCCAAATAGTAACTTGTGCTTGTGTTAATTGTACCCACTCACCTCACTTACATGCACGACCCACCTGCCCCACCTGCACCTACACCACCCCCTGCACACCCTTCTCCCAATCCATCAGCCAATGAAATCGCTGGCGCCAAACACCTACACTTTGAGCTTGTCAAATGCCTGTGTGTGTGCTGCATGTTAATTAACAGCCGGCAGAGCACAAACAACCACACACACCTACACAAGTGGCAAACAAAAAGCGCTCACACACACACGCGAGCAAACTTGGGTGGGGGCTCTCACACACACAGGCGAACGAAAGTTGGCCACCCAATAATATAAGCGCCAACTTGTCATTTTAGCCTAGCTCCACCTTAACTAAACAAACAAACAAAGTGGTGCACACACACTGGCGCACGCATTGGCGATAGGTGTGCGGTGTGTGTGGTGGGTGGTGAGTTTGAAGCCAGCGCAAAGCTCACCACGATTTGGGGGAGCCAAAGTTGGCGGTTGAAATTCGAAGAGCTCAGAGCAAGTTTGCTCCGCGCCGCGTTCAAACGTGCTACGGTGTGAAACGCTTCGTTTTTTACTTTTAATTTTTATTTCGATTCAGTTTTTAAACATAAAAAAAAAAAAATAAACAAGAAAAATAACAAAAAAATAAAATAATAAAAACAAATATTAGTTGACTTACTTCGTTAATTTCCTTACGTTTCGTTACGTTGCGTTTTCCGCGTTTCTGCGCTAACCGGCGTTTTCTGCGCATGCGTGCAGTGCGTTCATTGCGTTTACATTGCGTGCTGCAAGCTAGTGTTTGTGTTGGTGCGACGCTTTAAATGGCGTTTTAAGTGAAATTAAAATGACGGATGTGCTGTAATTTGCACACTCACGCTCGCTCAATAAATACAACAAAAGCAAGAATCAAGAGGAATAAATAATAACAACACACGCTGTTTGGTGGGGCGTTGTGCATACACACACATACTATACATAAATATTTTGTAGCATGTGCCTTAGTTGATCGAATTAAGTGCGAGTTTTATAGCGCCCGCGGGACCGGGAACTGCAATTGACTGCCGGCCGACTGAGCAACCGGAAATGCAAGCACCCCTCATCCCCTCTACCATCCCTGCTTTCCACCACCCAAACAACAACAACAAGTGTAACACCCCCGCCCAGGAAACGGCGGCAATAAGTGCTAATAAGTGAGCCGCAGACTATAACTAAAACCGGATGCAGGGCCACTAGTAATTGCCAATTTTAGTCTTTAGTCGTCTCCCTACTGAATTTTGTTCTTCTCTTTGAACAATTGGAAAAATCTGTTGGTTTTTTGGATTTTAGTTTTTCCATTTTTTTTTAGTCATGCTTAGGCGACTCATAATATATTTGCCTAAGTAACTTCGTCACGCACTGCGCGCGCGCTGCATTCGTTACACCACTAAAATGCGGCTTTTGCTTCTGCTACGGTGGCCCCCCTCCCAAAAAAGGGTCGCCCCCCTGCGCCATCGAAACGCCGCCAGTTGAAGGCACACACAAAAACAAGCAACAGAAAATAAATAAAAATAAAAATAAATAATACAAAGAAGCGCAGGCGAAGAAAATAAAGGGGCACAAAAACCCAAGGTGCGTTGCACTCGTTTTGTCATTGATTCCGCGGATGCGAAATAGCATGCGGCAGTTGCAAGAGAGAAAAAAGAAGCCAACGGGCAACAGCTGCTGCGACAAAAGCCAGGCCAAAAGCAAAAGCCAAAACCAAAACAGCGATTATTTCAAGCATCCGCCTCCACTTTCCCCCCACAACCCTCCACCACCCCCCGCTCTGCAAAACTGGCAACGGAAAAACCCTTGCTGCCTGTCTTTTGTAACGTGGCCAGAACGTTGCCAGGCAATTATTATTTTGTAAGACGTTTTACAATTTAATGGTTTTCATGGTAAGTACAACGCCAACGCCATATGCCATGCGCTCCCCTTTCCATCCTGGTTTCTTGGTCCACCTCTTCTGACCCTGTCAGCCGAAAGTTTGTTTTGGTGACTCTCGAGGGTTAAGGGGTCACGAGGGGTCAAGACACCAAGAGAGACGGGGGTCTGACACCACGCAACCTGTTGCATTTGCGGACAGGAAGAAAGGGGCAAGGAAAACGCTCTTAATTCCCTGTTTGTGCTTCTCTTTGCAGAATGGACTTGGATCCGACCCTCTGTCAGCAAAGGAGGTGAGTTCGCGAGTTAACTTAGATGCTAGCGATAAGAACTGGGTGAAAAAGACTGGCTAAACACTAAGTATCTCACAATTACAAGTGTTATCATGTTTATCATTGGGAATATATTTACTTTATTTGACTAGCACCCATTTCGATTATTACCATAAAGTTTACATATTTGGAAAATCTAAAAATACATTTTTTTAAAAACTCGCAAAATTGGAATAGTTGAATCATTAGTTTTTCTAACAATCACATTAATTTTTTTTTGTCCCACTCTAATTTTTTTCTTTATTCCTCAACAAATTAGAATATATGTATAACTTGAAATATAGCATTTAATACTAATACTATACAAAATTAATTATGGCAACGGGAAGTTCAAGTTTCAAACGATTTGTTAAAACCTTAACGTTCACCTAAAGCTTTTAAAATTAAATCAGATTAATAAATATTAATTAAATGACCTTAGTTAACTGAAACTTTGGAATTGGATTAGTTTCCAATAATATTAAAAGGTCTACATAAAAGTCTAAAAACAAAATTTTCCCACTCAGAAGTCCACAAAAACATGAATAATGTAATTAAAATCTAAAGCTCTTCTTAAATTTAATTGCAACTGCACCCAGGTTATTTCGATTTTCCTTGCCTCCAAGTAATTGTTATTGCGTGCAATTTGTCTTCCATATCAGTTAAATACAACTCATTAGGGCCGATAAGTTTCACGAGCAACAATTACGGCCAAAAAAAAAGCTCTATCAATTAGGCCCCGAGAAGAGTGAAATATTTTCATGTTAGCGATACACTTCAGGCCATTCGAAATGACAATTGCGAAGGAATTCCCAGTGGGCCAATTCGTTTGGATGCCCCATAAAACCCATCCCATCCCATCAGTCTGCCTCAAAGGCGAAAGCCGTCAGCCAGCACAGCCAGTAGCAGCAATCAGAAAACAGAAAACCACATACCAAGCGTAAGACAATCCATAAAATTGAGTTCCATCGGGTCTACAAAGGGGGGAAATCGGAGCCAACTAATGTCCCGACCATCATTCTATCAATTGCGGCGCCTATGAGAAATTTCAGCACGTCCCAACACAAATTAGCAGATCGGAGGCTGCAGCGCCCCATAACAATATCATAAAGAATGGAACGGTATTGGGAGGGGGGATCGGGGGAATCAATATCTATATAACAATAAATCAGCGCGGGCAATTAGAGGGTAAAGTAAACGGGGGCTAAGAAATATAAATATAAATACCTTCGGACAGGGGCCAACATCAGTCGCATATCAATTGCAATCTCCATCGTCGATCGCCAATAGCCGCTTCTCCCATCTCGATTTCGATCGGGATCGGAATCGGGATCTCGATCCAGATTTCTATCTAGATTTCGATCTCTGCTGCTGCCGGCCAATGAAGTTGTTGTTGTCAATGTTGTGGGCCATAAAAAAAAGAGCCAAAAAAGAGCCCCGCGGCTGCCATTCGACACAATCGAAGACAAACTATCTAATCTAATGCTGGCAATGAGCATTTGTTTGTATAAATAACTGCATGGCAGTAAGCGGCGACAGCGGTAAACAACTGCTCAAATCGCGTGGCCAAGTTCTGGGTTCTCCTCGTAGTCCCCCCACCTCCCGCCTTGAAAAACCCCCCTTGAAGGCATGCCCACCCCACCATATTTTCGCCCACTCGCCACTGACATTTTTTCATAATTTGCGCTACAAGCCTGACAATTGTCGTTGTTGCCCACTGGGCACACACTCTGCATCCATGGATCTTGGCTTGGTTGTTCGCCGTCTTGGTTGTCGCTAGCTGGTTGTTGTTGGTGTTGCTGGCGTTGTTCGCGACCGTGTTGCTGGCATCAGGCTGGATACCCTGGCTACCCTGCAAGTGGAATAGGGTTACTTGGGTTAACCGAGTTGACTGGTTAAAAGGATAGTCTTCTTTGCACTAATAGGATAACTTAATTTAAACCAATTCTGGGATACATGATATTCTTTGATTAAGATGAAGAACCATCTATACCAAACATGAGTTTTTGATTATTTATTTAATAAAGATTTATATATTACTGGTTTAAGACATTAGGAGCATTGGTTAGGTTTTCATTGTTTTTATAATTTTTTTTTTTAATTTCCAATTTATAAAATCTATTTTTTGTATTACTAAGAATTATTAAAAAAGAAAAAGAAGATTATCGGAAGAAGCGACATGGATAGGCTTTTGAGTTTAAGATTTCCAAGAGATTGCAATCAGATAGTGTTTCATACTTTCTATAACTAAAAAAATTTTCATATCAATTAATCATTTATTAAAAACTGTTTTTTGGTAATCTTTCTGAAGTATGTAATTAATATGTGTTTTATGTCTTCAAAGACTGCTTCTCAATATAAATTTTAGCTACTTCTGTTCCGTATATGCCAGCACCCTGAGAACATTAAATAGTTGTAAATTTTATTCAAAAGTAGAGTTTAAAACACAATGCTATCGTTAAAAATAACTTGCCTGTATTTAAGCTTCATAAATTAAACGAACGCTTGGTTTTTAAGCTTTTTGTAGGCACTGTATGGTAACTCGTGGTCCGAAACACCCTTTAAATATATTGTAAACCTCATTTAAATAATACTGCAAAGTGTTGGCTCTAGCACCCCCTCCCCTTAACCCCCCTGCCCCCCTCTAAAATGCATATGCAGTGCCAAATTAAAATTTATCCATTTTATGGCGCTGCGGGCAGCTCATAACTGTTTCTTTGTTATTTATGCGGCGATTTTTTTTTTTTTGGTTTTTATTGCCGTTAGTTTATTGGCTAAAGATTTCGTAAGCGCATGAAATGCGCAACAATTGTGGTTTTTCGGTTTCTTCCCACTTATCTCTATACGATCTGCCATATGGAGTAAGAAAGATATCGACGGAAGTCATTTGCGGTTGTTCCAGGTAGATGAATTCAATAAGCAAACAGCTCCCAAACACGCACGCTCCATCCACACTTTTCCCATTGGATCTTTTCCCTTTGAAAAACCCCCCGTAGATAGAGTTCTTTAACCATCCACAACACTTTCGCCCATCAACAACATTTTGTCAAACTTGATTAGCCAAAAGCAGCGCTTATGACTCTATTGTTCAGCTGCATATATTATAGCCCATAATATAGTAAGTCTCCCCCGCTGACCGGCGATAAACAATATTGATGACGATGCTGATAATCTTTTTAATTTCTTTTCGATCCACAGGCAGAGGGCCCTCCGGTTCAGGTTGAACCAGTTGATTTGAGCTTACGTTCGCCGCGCGGTAAGTTGCTAATTATACGCTATCTAAGTTGACTCAACCTGAACTCATGTGCGGAGTTTAGTAAACGGACAGGGCCGAAAACAATTAATCAATGAAATGGCCGCCACAAGTTGATCACTTGAAAAAAGAAGGTCAGCCAGATAGAAAATACCGGAGGTCTAGAAAAAATTAGGTACAAAACCAATTTGCATTTCTCCTCTAATGAAGTTGAACTTTTTTTGGGCATAGAGTGCTTAAAAGATGGTATTTTGGGAACACAAATGGTGGGTGGAGTGAAAGGTAAAAATAGAAAAATAGTTTTGAGACAATTTATTCAAAATTTAGATGTAAGATATTCTTCTTTTCTTAAAAAATGTAGTTAAGCTTTAAAGAGTCTTAACTTTATTTAAGTAAAATTGGCTTAGGGGCTTATAATTAAAATTTGTCAATAAATCTGAAAATTAATAATAATCAAGCTCTAGAAATGAAGAAGCTTTACTAAAATTAATTAAAATTCATAACATAAAAACGCCAGTAAACAATACCAAATTCCTCTGCCTTTATCTTCAAGATTTAATCAGATCATAAAAAAGATATTCTTGATCGGCAACAAATGATGAACAAACAGTCCAGCCGATAAGTTAAAGCGCAGCTCGTTTGGAACAATACAGAGATCTATGTTAAAGATATCTATCAGCATTTATATCGACCCATGATCACACTCCCCCCATAAAGAGCCCAACAAACTGAATTCCTTATATCTTCCACGGCCTTATCCCCCCCACCAACCGACTTCTCCGAGATTATCCGGCAATCCCGCAGACAAGTTCAAACAAAAGGGGAGACAAAACGTTAGTCATTGCCTAATGCTCATCAGGCTGGGCCATTCATACGTGAAAGCCTGATGAGTATCGCCGTGTGATCATCAGCAGATCGGTTGTGGGCCCATTAAGTTCATGCTGATTTCGCTGCGAGTATCGCTCTATATCCGACGCCCAGGAACCTGACCCAAAACAAGTGGGGGTTTCTTCGTCGTGTTGGAGAAGAAGAAGTTTTCATTTACCCACTTGACCGATCGAGCGATCGAGCGAACCACCAACTGTTTGACCATTTGACCTTTGCCAGCCTTTCTCTTTGTGTACGAGTATGTGTGTCTGTTTGTGTGTGAAGTTAACAGCAACGCCCCGAAATACCGAAAAAGCCACAAAAAGTTGACTAGATAAATAGATGGTTAGTTATACGGCCATCTACTCACAGCTCCTCAGCCGTAGGGTGCCCAGCGGTACACCTAATTTAATTAAGAAGCCAGAGAGCTTACCTTAAATGGCTATACAGTAAGATTAACAGCTAAAAATCCAAGCTGAAGCTCTGAGCTCTGAGCTCCCCGTTCATTAAAGATATATATCCAAGAGCTAGAGAGCCGGAGCTAAGAAACGTTGTTGTCTCGCCGCGCATATTAATCAATTAGGCATGATATTAGTGAGGGCATCATTAATTTTGTCAATGCGCTCACCTGGCCACAAAAGCTATTTGAGAAGCGCATAGAGAGGCGGCGACGGCAATCTCTCATGCTAATGGTTTATGGCGTGCTACCAAAGCGTCCACAGGTCTAAAAGGTCCACCAAACCAGCGATCCACAGATCCGTGGCGAATGTGTTAAATAGCGTTAAAATTTGTAAAACAAACGGCACATAATGGTTCGGGTTAATTTCCAACCTTAACGGTCATCCAAAAAAAAAACCACCCGAGACGAGGCGAACTGAGATTTTTCGGCACACATAAATTATGGGTTTTAAATAATTATGCAATTAGCCAGCATAGCGATAGATAGCCTCAAATTGCCAATGAATGGAGGGCAAAGCCGAAAGGCCCGAGAACCGAGGAGACAGTGCCAAATTCCCACCAACTCTAATTGCAGTTTGGGAGTACTGGAGAGGTGAGAGCTGGTGAGCTGGCTGAGGAGCTGGGAAGCCAGGGACTGCAACTACAACTTGATTTATTTAAGCTACCCAAACAGCCCATAAATAAAGCTGTTGAACTAGCCACCATTCCAGGAGCGGAGCGAAGTGAAGGGTGAGCTGAGAGAAGGGTGGAGCTGAAGAGCAGGAGAGTCTCTAAGCTGAGCCTGGGACATCCACAGTGCCTTACCCAAAAATGAGAAAAAAAAGCACAGCACAACATCTTACAATCCCACACCACCTCTGCCGGAGCCACTGCTTCATTGCCGCACCACCGAACCACCAAACAAACCAAACGATCGGCCTCTCGCCACTCAGGGGCATAGGCTTTCCAGGTTAAGTAGATGCGGCGACACGCGGGTCGATCCAGCGAGCGAACGACCTTAAGACGGAGATCCCAACCCGAATTTGGGAGGGAAAGGGGTCTATAGTGGGGGGGATTCAACCAGGCGACGATGTCGGAGCATCCACGGCATCTATCGAATGATATGCAACATTTAGTGAAGTGCTCGAGTACCCAAGCAGGGGCTAGGGCATATTGATGGCAAGGTGAAAATGTGACAGGCAGGTGGGCGCAGGTTTGGGGAATCGGTTTAAAAGGAAATCATGATCGATGAGTGATGGCGGTGTTATATTTAGTAATCTAGGCAAACGCAAACCGGCAGCTAAAGACCACAGAATAATATTAGCATAATTCATTCCATTAGTAGGAATATATTGAAAATCATTCGTGACTTGGCTAAATAAATTATTACATTTTAAGCGAGATCATCTTTAAAACCTAATATTGCTAATTTCCATTTTAACTATTTTTTTCCCTTGAGCATTTAAAAAAATGCTATAAAAGATCAGTTAATTAAACAAGTTTTTACCATTATTGTTTCATAGAGAACTTAATATTAATATTTCTCACCTCAATGAACTTCAACCCTTGTATATTTTATATCAGTGTTAGAAATAGTTTACTATAAACATTTTATAGAGAACAAATTGGTCTAACCCCACAACTCCTTAATAAAAACTCGTGTTACCGTTGCTGCACTTCATCGATTCGGGGATCTAGCTGGGCTGCTGATTTGGCAAATGCATCTGCATCTGCTGCTCCCTCAGCGATAGGATGGCCAACTGAAGCCAGATCTCATAATCGCTGGCGGCTCCCAGCGACCTGGAGAGTGGAGACTCCGCCAGCTGGCCTCGCCCAGATCTACCAGATCCCCCAATCCCAGATTCCAGATCCGAGATCCCAGATCTTCAGGCCCGCACAATGCGATTTCGAGGGGGAATATACTCACATTCAGCAGAAGAAGGGGCGTTTGGACGGGCCGTGGTGATTGTTTTTTAATTATGCTTCAGCTGACACCCGGGCAGATGACCATTGAAGATGGGTAGAGGGGGCTAGAGATGGTCTGGAAAACTGAAAACTGGGTGGAGACCCCAGAGATCCGTGTCTCTGGGCCTGGTTAACATGGCGCGTATGTAGCGCATCGAGTTGACTTGACTTGACTTGACTGAGTGACTGTGACTGGCTTTTGAGGTTATGTGAAAGGTCAAGTTCGTGATCGCATTCAAACATTTTTGCCAACCACTCATCTCGCTGCGCAGATCGGGCCCAGAGACCAGAGACTATAGACCAGGCCCAGACCAGAGGAGACGGAGTCTTAGACCCGGGAGTAGAGTGCAAGGAACACGAGTGTGAGTCGCCGCCGAAAAAACAGAAAAAAAACCAAAAAAAAAAACAGAAGAGAGAGAAGAAATACCCGACCCAAGCGACGTCGCATCGTAGAAAAATTGAAGATGAGCGTGCCACCACCACGCCACGATTCTGCCATTCCCGTCTCTGTCTCTGTAGACCCCATCCTCATCCTCATCACCATCCCATCCCCTTACCCATCTATATCCCCTGTTTCTGTCCCAGCCCTATCCCCCATCGCAATCCCCATCTGGCGGAGATCCCACCGCCATATCCCGCCGCCCTCGCCGGAACCGAATTGAGTGAATGTAAACTGTGGTTTACTTGTTTCCAGCGTTGTCATAGTAATTTTTCTGCACTATAACAACGGCCAGCGTCGCCTCCAACAACATCGAAATATGCACAGAGAGAAATAACTAATTAGAATAATGGCTATTCTAATTTGAAGACACATATCAAACTTTAAGTTTAAATGAAAAATAATATAAGCTACGGGCAGGAAATTTAAATAATTAAAAGCGATTTGTATTTGGTCAGATGTTAAAGAGATATTTAATAAAAATGTTTCTTCTTAAATTGATTAGTAAAACATTTTTAAAGGATTAATTATATACGTTGGCGGTATTTTGAGAGAATTTGAAAGAAATACCTTATAAGAACAGGTAAATATTATTGGTGGTACATTAAACAGATAAGTTCTAACATTATCTCAAGACATGAAATTTAAAATATAGATATCAATTCTATAGACATTTTTGAGGAATTGGATTTTTAAAACTTGTATTATTATATATACTTATTATATGAAGTTAAACTTCCGAAGTTAAACTTTATATAATTATGAATCAGAAAATTATTTAATTAAATGAATGATATTGCTACTAGTTTTTATTCTCTGTGCACAAACTTTGGGGTGCTCTCTGATGTTCGGTGGCAGCACTCACCCGAAAACATTGAAACAAGCGGAGAAAAATGGAGATGCTGATGACACTGGAGACACGTTGTCTCTGGCAATCGTGCAACTGACACACCACCACCACCGACGGCACCACCAGCACCGCCAGTACACCACTAGTACACCACCAAAGCCACCAGTACACACCGGCAACAAAATGCTAGACAGCATATGCCACACGAAGTTTTGAAAAGATTACACTGGACAACAGGCGACGCGGATGGTTGGGGTGCGGCCAACTGGAATTTTTGGGAGGGGAAGATGATTTGGCAATTGGTAATTGAAAGTTTATGCAAACAGTAATTTCAATGCTCTTTGGGTGGAGACAAGTCTCTTGGAAATCTTCGGTAGCTGGACAATGTTTGGCTTAATCTATGAATTTTATTAATTTAGAAAGTTTTATTAAATATTTAATTTTTAAAGATTTCTCCTCAAACCAT